GCTAGAGGCATCTTTTCACTCAGGCAGCTACTGGCTGCTGAGGCTAGCAAGCCCACGGTCGACAAATAAAATAACACAGTACCGATGTTACCGAACCACATGGCAGACCATTAATTCAAGTCCATTGAAAGTTCCAAAGTTGTTAGAGCATGGCAGGCTGCTGAACAACAACGTGGCTACATGCAGGGCTCAAGTATGCCATAAGCTAGAAACCATTCCCAAAGCTGCTGCTTATATACAGGAAGCAGACCACATACCCAAAGCAGCTACTCAGCTGCTCCAATAGATTCCACCATGAAGTTAATTACCATTCTCACTATGGGGAATAACTACATTCAGCTGCCCAGCTACTCAACCAGCCCCAGCCAAGTTGACACACAAACTTAACCACCAAAGCATGATTTCCACATAATTTCTTTTTCCCATTCAGAAAACAGCAAATTGGCCACTCTGTTCACCAAAAAGAAATTTTCTCCTTGCTTGCAAGCTATGTTCTGTCAGGTTTGTTGGACATTAGTGCCTTCTGGATCTCATAAGACTCCTACTCGTACCTTGCAGCTATGACAGACTTCAAGTACAGAATTGTGACACAGCTGGCATCCTTCGACAGGTGGCTGGTGAACAGCATTTTAAAACAGAAAACTAAACAAGCAATTAAAACCGGGTATTTGTTATCAGAGTTTAATTTTTCTAAAAACATGTCTGAAAGTCTCAATTTGGACCGGAGTGAATACAGGCTACAGACTGGGAAGCAAGGCTGGGGAGTGGAGTGTGTATTCAGTTTATTTCTCCTTAGGCATGTAACTGGATATGGAGTGGAATGGAGAGAAAAAGGAATTGAAATTCTTGAATGAGGAAGACCACAGAGATCTTATTGACTTCACATTGTGAACCTTACTTTGCCTTTACTTTTTCTACCTCTATCCAAATATTCATCTTTACCTTTTAAGAACTCCACAAAATAAAGATAATATATAAATGTATTATAAATTATTTTAAATCAGAGTATAAAGAATTTTTTTCATGATATAAAACCTTTTCATAAAGCCATCTTGGACATACTTACTATGTACTTCTTAGACATACATATGAATATCCATAAATTATAGTAAAACTTTAAATAACAGAAAGCTTTGATGGTCTGTGGATACCACATATTCAGCTTTAAGGACCTAATGTCTACATGTGTCTACCACTGCCTACTGTATAGTGGAATCACAGGAAATTTATGTTAAATGAAAGACTATTCACTGTTACTCCTTCTCTTAGAACTGATAACAATTTAAACCTAGTTGGCAATAGCAAAACACTTCATTTTGTATTAAAGTAATGGTAACTTTCTGGAGAAAGGCATTCTGTAGATTTGTTAATTTTTATATTTTACATTTTTTCAGATGAAGTTATAAGACCAGCATATACCTTGCTTTTGGAGGTCATAATGGCATTTCATGGAGTTCAGCCTCAAGCCCACTTCACATTTCAGATATGTTCAGTTTAATGCTATCTTTTTGAACCCTCACTGACCTAGCTTGTGGTCTTACTAAGACTTCTATTTCTGTTCACCTCTAGGACCACATATTTTCCCTTCTCTTTTTCCAACACTTCCACTTACCTCTTGAAGCAATTATTTGATGGTTTGTGAAAGAAAAAAATGGCAATTATTTCCATTTTTTTCAACTTGTAAGAAAAAATCTCTAAGAAACCCAAAATGTTCTTACTTGTTCCAGGTTAAGGCAGTTTACTCTTTCAAATATATTATCCATTTGAAACCTGTGGTCAACCTAAAATAGGAAGCTGATCCTATCCCCACCCCCACCCCCAATTTTGACCAACATAATGGGGTTCTTTTAGGTGAGAGTATCCTGTGCTTTTATTTGTACTACTCAAGCTTTGTTTTCAGAATTTTATTGAGTAAGTTAGATTTATCTCTTTTAGAAGTTGTTTCATCTGATGGGTCTTTGCCAGGAAATGTTTTTCCTGTCAGGTTCAGAGTGGGAGATGAGTTTATAGCCTACTGTCACAGAGCATGTAACTTTGTCTTGCTTCTTTCTAAGTTTAATTTTCTGTTTTTTAGTCAGTTCTCTGGCCTCATTGTTCTCTTTTGCAATGAAGAAGTTAAAAACCTAAAAACAGCCATTCCATTTCCAATCATTATTTCTAGAACATTGTCAGAACCTAGACTCCTGACATTTGTTCTCAGAGTAGCATTGGCATTACCCTGGTTTTCAATGAGGGCAAGTACTGTTGAATTTCTAACTCTTGCTCTTACTCCTTAAGCATCGTTGCCCTAATACAGTGCTTATGTTTTTAGTAGCTATGTATGTAGAGGTAAATACTTGCGCTAGTCTTACATATAACTGCAATTTAAAGATTCCTGAGCACAGGAATCACCATATCACCCTCCACTCACATTTGGTAGAGGTACCCAGAGAGCAGTCAGCAGTAGGTGAGGAGGTGGCCACTGGATGATCAAAGTCACAGCAGACTCCCCCATCCCCTGACAATTGCTATGAGCAGTCCAAGAGATGCCTCATAGCATATGGCATTCCTCTTCTAAGAACAAAGCATTTTTAGTCTCGAGTAAAAGTCAGTTTATTTCATTTTCACCTGTAATAGGCTCTTACGTTCTTTCCTGCATCCCAGATAAGACTTCTTACCTTGAGATTACCCTTTTTCTCAGGAAGAATCAATTAATTTCTGGATTTTATTTATTTTTCACCCAGATTTCTCAGTTATTCCATTGGCAAAATAGAATTAATAACACTGTTACCTTCATATCCCAAAGAAATATACATGAAATTAGTTCCTCAAAAGAAAAACAATGTTCTTATTTATACACTATAGTATATGACAGGTTCAAAAGTTAATTGTATATATTTAAGTTGGCAAATGCCAATTCAAAAGGTATGTTATAATTCTTGGTCTCTATCTTAGCTTTCCTAATCAATAGGTTAGATGACATTGTGGAAAAAGATTCTCCTTAACGTCCTTACTTCTATTATCCGTAGTTTTGCAGTACAATAGAATTTCCCCTAGAGAAGGGATTTTAAGTGTGTGCAAGTCATGCTAGGAAGCAATCTGAAATGTTGTTCCACTCTAAATGAAAGTAATTGTTCTGGAATTACATTAAAGCAGCATTTGTTTTTATATTTTTTTCCCTTGCAAGATAATAATGAGGTTTGAATGAGCACTATAAATACCAGGACCTATAAAATGCATTACGTCCTTTAATCCTCATGTCATCCCTACCAGACAGCTACTATTATTGTTGTTGTTGTTAGGTGCCATCAAGTCATCTCTGACTCATAGCAACCCTGTGCACAGCAGAACAGAACACTGCCCCATCTTGTGCCAGCCTCATGATCCTTGCTATACTTGAGCCCATTGTTGCAGCCACTGTATCTATCCATCTCGTTGAGGGCCTTCCCCTTCTTCATTGACCCTCCACTTTACCAAGCATGATATCCTTCTCCAGGGAATGGTTCCTTCTGACAACATGACCAAAGTAGGTGAGAGAAAGTCTGGCTGTTCTCGCTTCCAAGGAGCATTCCAGCTGCACTTCTTCTAGGACAGATTTGGTAGTCCTTTTAGCAGACCATGGTGCTCTTAGAATTTTTCTCCAACACCACATCTCAAAAGCATCAACTCTTCTTTGGTCTTCCTTATTCATTGTCCAGCTCTCACATGCATAAGAGGCAACTGATAAAACCATGGCTTGGGTCAGGTGCACCTTAGTCTTCAGGGAGACATCTTTGCTCTTCATCACTTGAAAGAGGTTCTTTTGCAGCAGATTTGTGGAATGCAATATGTTGTCTGATGTCTTGACTACTGCTTCGATTGGTATTGATTATAGAACCAAATAATATGAAATCCTTGACAACTTCAATCTTTTCTCCATCCACTGTGAAGCTGTTTATTGGTCCAGTTGTCAGGATTTTTGTTTTCTTTATATTGATGTGTAATCCATACCACAGACTGTAGTCTTTAATCTTTGTCAGTAAGTGCTTCAAGTCCTCCTCACTTTCAGCAAGCAAAGTTGTGTCATCAGCATATCGCAGGTTGTTAATGAGTCTTCCTCCAATCCTGATGCCACGTTCTCCTTCATATAATCCAGCTTCCCGAATTATTTGCTCAGCATACAAGTGGAATAAGTGTGGTGAAAGGTTACAACCTTGACACACTTGCTTCTTGGTTTTGAACCATGTAATATCCTTTCGTTTTGTTCAAACAATAGCCTCCTGATCTATGTACAGGTTCCTATTATGATTAGACTCATTTTATAGATGAGAAAACTGAGACTTACAGTGTTTTTGCCAAACATCACAGGTGATGAAACTGAGTTTGATCCATGATAATCTGACTCCAAACCCCTGTACTCTTAAATCTTATGTGTACCTGCTTCTGGGTGAATTGATTCAATACTGTGCTGAAGTCTTGTCTTTTTTCCAGTCTTTAAATGGCTTTACAGCATCAGATTCTGTGTGGTTTTATCAGAAGTTTCTTCTAAAAGTGATTTCTTAAGATTAAGATAATCATTCTGTGTAATATTTTTACTTTCACCTTTGGAAGTAGGATGGGCCTACTACTAAGATATTTAATGTGTTTTATAAGCTTTGTCAAACATCCTTATTCTGTCCTCTTTATCTATTAATGTAACTGTAGTTTTGTGTGTGTGTATGTAGGAAGAAATTGCAGGGCATTTTAAAATTTCAGTCTTGACTCATACTGACCAACAGTTACAGAAAGCCTCAACAGTAACAAAAATGAAAAACAATGAAAGCAAACCCAACTAATTTCACCTTTTTTTTTTTCCCCCTAGACCCTTAAAAAATAGTGCTTTCACCATTTGGTCTCAAAAGGAAATAGACAGTAGTGGTGTTATTTTCTCTCTCTCCTTATACACTCTTAAGCTAGAGAACAACACACAGAAATACCAGCAGGGGAGACTACCATTTGCATTGCCATTAAATGCCTTTTTCCCTCCCCCATCTTGATTTCAGGTGTCAGAAACTATTTAAAAGAAGCATTGGTGAATATAATTGCTGTGCACGCAGAGGTAAGCTATCATTAGATGTTCCTAAGAGATATGGGTAACTGAAAAGAGAGAGACAAATTTGATGATTTTTATGATGGTCTTTTTTTCCCTTCAGACTATAATTTGAGTGTAAATAAAACATAATTCTAGTGTCCTGTGTGTATGGTTTGTTTCTGTTTTATTTTGTTTTTGTAACTATGAAAATCTTTTTCTGAAAAGATTTGTATGTTTCTCTCATAATTAAAACTAAATTTATTAGTATTTGAAAGGCATAGAGAATAGAGATTGAAGGGATGTTTTTCCTTTAGGAATGTTCAATACCTTATCTTGGAAAATTTATTAACCTCTTTCTAGCCAGTATACAAATTTGCATTGTAGTGATGTGGTGTCATGTAGTGGTTGGGGTTCCTGAAAGGTAGAATTTTGTAAGAAAGATAGATTCAAAAGAGCAGACTGAAGCTAGGAAGCAAATGTATAATTTCCTGTCAGTGATGACTTAGGTCCATATAGATATTAATGCTTCCAGCTCACATTAAAACTTGCCCTCACTTGAAGGATTCTCATCAGCTTGATACTAATATTCTTAGTTAGCATGCTTGTTAACAGGACTCTTCTGTGGAACATTGAAAAAAGAGACCACAGCTACCACTGTTAACCACCACTATGACTCCCTGCTTTCATGCAGTAATTTTACGATTCATTACTCACTGCATTGCCAATACTTTTAAGAATGATTCTTACTCATAGACCGATGGGTAACCAGATAAAATTGAGCAGAGCAAAGAGGTTATCTTTAGATAATGTTCACCCTCACTTGTCTCTCTTAAGCTGTATACATTCAACATAGGTGTATTTAGGTTTATACCACTCCCTACATGCAAAAGTATCAGAGGCCATCAGGGTAAACTGAAAAAACAAAACAAAACAAAAAGTCATGAATATTTAAAGCTAAACCAAGAGAGTGGCCAAAGAAAACAATGAGAATGCTATCTGGTTCCTGAATTTGCCTGTAAGTTTGAAGTAACTACAGCAAAAAGAGAAATACAGTATGTTATAATTTTAATTCCTAATTAAAAGGAAATGTATAAAGTCCTCTATGAAAATAAGGACTATATGATTTAACTCAGGCCAGAATTTATCATTATGATATTTTAATAATGAATAATATGTTTTCAACCGTAATTTTATCAAAGGCATAAAATATTATTTTAACTTCTTAGAAAATTCAAGAATAAAATTAAATCAACAATGAGTGAAAGCATTTATATGGTAGATGGATAGGTGATAGAGGAAGTATGAAATATATGGATATTTTTAGTGATAATGATAATGATTCCTAATGAGACATTAATGTCCATTGTCAGTAACCATACAATGATTTATAAGTATCAGTGACAGAAAGTAGTATTTCTTTTGTAATATATACTGTTTACAATTTCCCACATGATAATTTGCCAAAATTTTGAGCATTTGAGTTATGTCTAGGATGGCTCAGAGGTATAATACCAGTGACTTAATATGAAACAAAGAAAGCTAAAAAGTAAATATGATTTAATTTTAAACCAAGAGAGTAAAATGTTTCACTAAATTGCCTAATATAATAAATAACTCCTAGTTTGAATGTGTCAAACTTTAGTTTTGTGAAAGGGGCAAGGAGACGGCATCTTCTGACCTCCTCTAACTACATAAGAGGAAGACAGAATCACCATCAGCAGCCCAAGGGCTGTTCTTATGAGACCAAACATGCTGCCACTCTCCAACCCTCTTAGTAACCTTGTCACCAACCGTTCCTCCGACAGCACCCACCATCTTTCTACTGGGCTCAGTAATTCACTGCAGTGGCCACACAGAACTCACAGATTGTGGGGTGTATTGGGGAAGCAACAGGCTATAATTCAAGTTCAGGAACGTGCTCAGTCTCTCTCAGCCAGCCGTCTCTCTCAGCAGCCGTCTGTCTCTCTCAGTCTCTCAGAAGCACATCTCTCTCTCAGCAGTGTATCTCTCTCGTGTCTCTCAGCAGTGTGTTTCTCTCACATCTCTCTCTCAGCAGCACGTATCTTTCAGCAGCATGTCCATCTCAGCCAGCAGTCACAGAGACTCCCTTCTGCCTCTGAAAAAAAGCTCTTAGGGTTTCCAAGGTGGTACCTATACCTAAGGAGATTGCACAATCTTCCTTTCAAGAAGTGGCTGGTGGATTTGAACCACCAGCCTTCTGGTTAGCAGTCAAATGCCTTAGGCACTACACCACCAGAGCTCCTTTTGAGCCTGACAAAGTGGCAAAACTCACCAGTCCCAGTATCAGAATTTTACACACCTGAGAGAGAACGAACTTCCCAGGAGATTGCATCATGCTGCTCCAGCAGACACACACGAATGGATAACTTTAACAATGAGCTACTGAGTTGCTCACAGCAAAGTTGGAGTTACAAATACTATGGCTAGAAAACCATACCATGTAATTTACTACACTGCATGCCACCCCCTGGCTCTTCTAGCCATTATCCCTTTTATTCATCAAAAATTAACATCCCCTTCACCATCAGCTTAAAATAACCACATCCATGAAAGCCTGTAAGCCACCATTTCATACCTTTCTCTCCCACATTTTGGATAGCTAATTTCTAATTTGCCCATCCCTATCAAACCAGTACTCTGAGGAGACAAGCATGTTTCTTTGTCTCTGGAGAATCTTCTATTATTCTTGTAAACTTTGGGCATCTGCATCCATAAATAAGCAAAGTCCAGCCAAGTGCAAGCCAGAAAATTGCAGCAGCTTAACACCAGCTCAGTATCAAACATTTTCCTCTTCATTTGGTTGGGTTCTCGTCAACTCAGCCCTAGCCATCCCATCTAGGCCATGGGTACCAGCTGCCAAGTTTTGGGAGTCACACTCTTCCCTTTACTTCAGACCAGCCAGTACCTTCTCTCTTTCTTCATTAGTCCTCATATACTAGTTCCACACAACTCCTTGCACTTCTGATCAGCCAGCCCTTCCTCTCATCCCTAGCCTCAGTGACCTAGGTCAAAGGGTACCAAACTCAGCCCATTTCTTCTTTGCTGCACTTCCCCCATTTCCACTGAAGTGGATCCAGGTGGTCACAAGCGAGGAGAATACAAGGCTCTCTACTTGCCAACTTTCTTTAACTTCTAGTCCTGAAAGGGGTTTCTCTCATGGACCGTGACTTTCCTGCCTCAGTGAACCCAAAGCCTAATTGCTTGAAATTCAAAAAGCCAGACAGTAATTTTTTTTTTTCATTTGGTCCTTTCTTCAAGTGCAAATTTTCTGTTCTCTCAGTAGTTCTAGGTGTGGGTCTTTTCAAATGCAGATTTCCTCACTATGCGGGGTTCTGGGTGGGGCTCAGGTTTTCTACCTAAGCTCCCTATATGCTATACATAGGATTTGAAACAAAAGTCTGTGTTTCTTCTGGCTAAGTTCTGTTTCCCCTTTTAACATATCCAATCAAGTATGAGCTGAAGGCAGACTTACTTGCTCTCTGTTATCCACACTTCACAGTCATTTCTAATGTCTAAGTAGGTAAGAGACCATTCAATATCTGTAGTACATTTAGATAAACACATAATCCAAAACACTTAATCCTTTTTAAGACATTCCAGTTTCATCTCTTCACCTTGAGTATCTTCCCTTTCTATGTATATCTGCTTTAACACCAACCAAAGTAATCACCTAAGAATCCAAAGTTTCACTTCCCAGGCCCCTTCCTTCTTTCTTTTACAAAGTCCTATGCTTCTATGAGTCTGGGGCCACTGCAACAAATCCCACTTCTGACAACAGCTATGAAGGGGCAGGGAGGCAGCATCTCCTGACCTCTCTAACTACACAAGAAGAAGACAGAATGACCATCACCAGCCCTAGGCCTGTTCTTATGAGGCCAGACATGCTGCCACCCTCCAACCATCTTACTAACCTTGTCACCAGCAGTCCCAACCATGGCACCTACCACCTCTCTGCTGGGTTCTGTAATTCGCTGCACTGGCCACACAGAACTCAGAGATTGTGGGGTTTATTCGGGAAGCAGCAGGCTACAATTCAAGTTCAGGAACACACTCAATCCTCTCAGCAGCCGGCCATCTCTCTCAGTCTCTCAGTAGCACATCTCTGTCTCAGTAGTATGTCTCTCTCACATATCTCTCTTACTGAGAAATGTGTTTCTCTCACATATCTCTTTCAGCAGCATGTCTCTTTCAGCAGTGTGCCTCTCTCAGTTAGGAGTCAGAGAGACTCCCTTCTGCCTCTAGCAGGGCTCATTTTGAGCCTGGCAGAGTGTCAGAACTAACCAAATCTCAACATCAGAATTCCACACGCCTGAGAGAGAGCAAACTTCCCAGAAATTACTTCATGCTGCTCCAACAGAGATACACCAGGTGGATAACTTTAACAATCATCTACTCAGTTGCTCACAGCAAAATGGGAGTTACAAATACTGTGGCTAGGAAAGCCACACCATGTAATTTACTATACCCCAACTTTCAAAATGAAAATTTTCAGATAGTCAACTTTAATAATACTTTTTAAAATTATACTTGCCAATGTTTTTAAGAGAGTTGTTTTTGTCATGAGTCAGTTAATACAACCTAAGTATAAATATTTTCCTTTCATTCAGAATTTTGGTCCTTCAAAATTATGGGAGGCATGTAATTTATTTTGTTTGTGTTAAATTTAATTTATTTCTTTTGTTAACAAATTTAAATTAAGAAAAGTCTTTATAATGCCTAATTTCTTTTTATTTTAAACCTTTGTTCAGGTGTTCACTATTTCCAAGGAATTGGTGCCTCGGGTACTATCCAGGGTGGTGGAAGCTGTTTCTGAAGAGCTGAGTCGACTGATGCAATGTGTTTCATCATTCAGCAAAAATGGAGCATTACAGGTACCCAAATGATTCAATTCTATGATGAACTTATATTTTTATTTAAAAAATATAAATCTGGATTCAGTCATTAATCTTATCATATAGACAGGTTTCATTTTATCTTTTTATAAACCTACTGACTGGAGATCTATATTGTAGTTTTTCTTGTATAAGCCATACTCATAATGCATTGTCAACAAGCTCCTGAGTTTCTGTTTCTTTAAAGTAGAGCAAATCCTTAAATACGCTGAAGCAGATCCTTCCTAACGTTTTGTGATTTTTCTTTTTATTTTACAGTTGTCTTCATCAAATTTATTTCCACCGGAAATATTTAGCAATTTATTTTTAATAAGTTTTTCTAAAGCATTCCACCAGTTTGCATAGACAATGCACTCATATTCCATCACTTCATGTACTAGTTATTTAAATTATATAATTACTGTAACAAGTATAACTGCCATAAACTAGATGATTCTTGGTTTACATGGAACCCAACTGGTAGAAGTCAATGTATGCAGACATATTGGAGAGTGACCTAGCTATTAGCTTTCAGTGTGCTGGAAGCATTGAGTGTGTGTTTTTCAAAAGCAATGAAGTTCTACTTCTAGTAATGCCTGAAAGAGCTCCTATTGGGCCAACTCCTCACAGTTAATAACTGTAAACCTTGAATATATTAAAAAATAATAATACCTGAACACATGGAGAATGATGATTGGTGTGCAGTTTCTGGAGGAAATGGTACTTGGGTGAGTTCCCCCATTTTAATAGATTTTAGCATGAAAGTAGGCTTAGGGATGCCTAAAACTTCAGTATAAAACCTGCTATCTTTCTGGCTTGAAGACTAGGTTCAGAACAACCACAACTGCTAGAAAGTAAAGGAATTATCCCAGAGAGTAGAGAACACAATCCACAAATTCTTTGTATACACATTGCCTAAAACTCTGTTTGACCCCTAAACTACATATGCATGGTTATATTCCACTCTAGCTAGTCCAGCTAAAACTAAAAGAACTGAGGTGCTGCTTAAGAAATGAGAGGTTTCATTTTGTGTCCAAATAAGCTAATTGCTTCCTAACCAAGCAAAAAACAATTCAGTACTTTTCAGAATCATATTGGAGAATCCAGACTTATGTTAGTTTATGATATGTTATCTCCACAACACAATATTCCCAATATCCAAGATATAATTAAAACTTAATTGATATGTACAAATAAAATAGAAAAATGTTACTCATTCTCAATAATAAAAAAAAGTCTGAGACCAACCTCAAGATGCTCCAGTTGTTGGAATTAGCAGACAAGGGTTTTGAAGAAGCTGTGTTTGATGGTAATAAAAGAGATATACTCATAATGAAGGATAGGTACCAATATCAGCTTAAAAATAGAAATTCTGAAAACAAACTACATAGAAGTTCTAGAATAGAAAAACACTATATGAATTTTTAAAAAATCTGTTGCGTAGGAATAATGGACAAACAGAATGGAGATGACAAAGGAAAAAGTCAGTGAGCTTGAAGATAGATCAGTAGAAATAATCCAGTGTGAAGAACAGAGAAAAAAATTATTGGAAAATAAATGAACAGAGCTTCAGGGATCCATGGGACAGCATGCTTATAATTAGGTTCCCACAAGAGTAAGAGCAAAATAGGGCAGAAACAAACATTTGAAAGTATGATGTCTTAGATTTTCCCAAGTTGATGAATGATACAAATTTACATATACAGGAAGTTCAACAAAATCTAAACAGGATAAATACAAAGAAAAGCCTATGTAAGCACACCCTGGTCAAACTGCTAAAAAACAAAGGTAGAAAAAATCTTGAAAGCAATCAGAGAAAAAATGAAACATTGCTTAAAGGAGCAACAATTTTGATGATTACTGACTTCTTATTAGAAATGGAGAAGACTGTAAGAACATTTTCTGAGTCACAAGAAATGTTAAAGGAAGTTCTTTAGGATAAACAGGAATGATAACAAATGGAAACACAGATTTTCAGGGTAAAATGAAGAGTTTTGGAAATGGTAAATATATGAGTAAATAGAAAGGACATTTATTCTCCTTAATTTTGAAAACTATTTATGTCTTTTAAGCCCATAATTATAACATTGTTTTGTGGGATTTTAAATGTATGTAAATGTAAAACATAACAACTACAACATAAAGCATGAGGAGGGATAAAGTAGATCAATACAGTTGCAGAGTTTCTAAATTTTATGTGAAGTGATATACTACCTGTAAGTAGACTACAATCTAATCTCCAGATAAGACTGTCCAATAGAATATTCAATGATAATAGAAATGTCCTATATCTATATTGTCAATATGGTAGCCAGTTGCCACATGTGGCTATACAAAGTACTTGAAATGTGTCTAGTCTGATTAAGAAATTGAATTTTAATTTTATTTCAATTTAATTAACTTAAATTTAAATAGCTATATGTGGTTAGTAGGTACCATACTGTATAATGCACACTGTAAACTTTTTAATGCCCACATTAAAAAATAATATAAAGTATTATAGCTAGAGCTGACAGATAAATTAAGTGCAGTTCTGAAAAATAATGCAAAGAGGTACAACAAAAAAATTAAGAAGTACTTAAAATGGAGTTCTAAAATATTTAAGTAAATTGGAAAATGATAACAGTTAAGAAGAAAAGAAAAAAAACAGAGGACACACAGAAAAGAAATAGTAAAATGGTAGACCTAATTTTAACTATACATATAATTAAATTGTTAATGGACTAAATACTTCAATTAAAAGGTAGAGATTATCCAAATGCATAAAAAACAGTTAAAGAAAAAACTACATGCTACTTCCAAAAACATAAAAAACTGTACTTTGTATGTAAAAACATATAATGAATTGAAAGTAAATTGGTGGAAAAATACATCCACTTCTCATTTATCAACCTGGTTAGGTTTCAAAGACCAGGTCATGATGTAAAAATTGGCTTTAGGCAAAACTGGAGGATGACTACATCAGATTACAAAATGGAAGATGACTACATCATTACATAACAGCCATATTACATCATAATACAACTGCCACACCCCTGAGAATCATGGCTCAGCCAAGTTAACACATAACCTTAACCATCACAGCCAGCATTACTCTTGCCTTGCACCTTGGCATTTGTTACCACCAGATGTACATAGTCAATGCACAAAATAGTCATTTTTTTTCTATTGTCATTGT